GTGGTGGACCGCTTATCCAAACGCATCCATGCGATCCCAACCATAACGACGATAGACTCAGCGGGCGTAGCGCGACTCTTCCTAGAACACATCTGGAAGCATCACGGGCTCCCAGAGGAGATCCTCAGTGACAGGGGGAGTGCCTTCGTCTCCCACTTCTCGAGAGAGCTCGCAGACCTCCTCGGAGTCAAACTCACCCCTTCAACACCCTACCACCCCCAGACGGACGGACAAACCGAGCGGGTCAACCAAGAAATCGAAGCCTACCTCCGAGTGTTTGTCAACCACCGCCAGGACGACTGGGCAGACTGGCTCCCGCTAGCAGAGTTCGCCTACAACAATCGCATCCACTCGTCCACCCACCGGACCCCCTTCGAACTCGACACCGGGCAACACCCCAGGATGGGGACAGAACCCACCCGTACGTCCGAGGTGGAGGCTGCTGATGCCTTTTCATCAAGGATGATGAAAATGCAGGAGGAGGCGAAGGCGGCGCTAGAACATGCAGCAGACGAGATGGCCCGCTATTACGATCGGGGCCGTGAAGCAGCCCCCAAGTACCAAGAGGGTGACCAAGTCTGGCTCAATGCCCAGAACTACACGACCGACCGCCCCACCAAGAAACTAGACCACAAATGGCTCGGCCCCTTCAAGATAGTCAAAGTCGTCTCCCCTGCCGCTGTCAAACTCCAACTCACCGCACGACAGAAAGGGATCCACCCGGTTGTATCTGTAACAAACATCAGGCCCCACCACCCAGATGAAATCGCAGAACGACCCCTCGACCCCCGCCCGGGCCCGGAACTCGTAGATGGAGAAGAGGAGTACGAAGTTGAAAAGGTATTAGACTCCAAATGGCTACGCCGGAAACTCTGGTACCTGGTAAAATTCACAGGCTGGCCAAACTCGGAGAACCAGTGGCTCCAGCGGGACCACTTAACCCACGCCCCCGACCGAATCGAGGAATTCCACAGAACGCACCCCCAAGCCCCCGGGAGAGAGAGGGAGAACCACCTGGCCGCTTTGAGGCGAAGCGGCTTAAGGAGGGGGTGATGTCAGGGCACGCCCGCCTGACCTGGCCCCACCTAACCCGGTGCCCCACCATCCACTCCTCCCGACCTCCCCCCTCTTCCCCTTTTCTCCCTTCCCTTTCTCCTTCTCCTTCTTTTCTATTCTCTCCCCTCTTTATTCCTTTCTTATCACACGGACGACTTCCTTTGTATCAATGTACCATTGACCTGGCTGCAGCGTAACACGCCCGAACCCGGACACACCGGACGCTCCTAGGACCTCTTACGGAGGTACCCAGATGGAGGTGGCTGTGTGCTCGGATGACGTGGCGCTTCCCACGTGGCCTTCAACCACATGTATATAAACATAGCCTAAGTGGGAACTGAGAAGCAACCTTCTTCTCACATTTCCCACTTTAGGCAAGTAGCTTACACCTCCCTTGATAATGACAATAACACATTTCCCACTTTAGTCTTAGTGGCCAGGGACCCTTGTCTGCTTCGGGCCCGTTGCTACGCGCGCCCGCGTCATACCTACCGGACCCTCAGCCTCGGGTGATACACCCGGGCGCTCTCGACCCCAGGTCGGTCCCTGACACTCGATAGACATGGTGGGAGAGCTCCCAGAGTCGAAAGGTTATAACACCATCCTAGTTGTAGTGGACCGTCTGTCCAAACACATCCACGCGATCCCCACCATGACGTCCATGGACTCGGCTGGTATTGCCCGGCTCTTCCTGGAGCACGTCTGGAAGCACCACAGGCTCCCGGAAGAGATCCTCAGCGACAGAGGGAGCGCCTTCATCTCGCGCTTCTCGAAAGAACTTGCAGATCTCCTGGGGGTCAAACTAACCCCCTCAATGCCCTATCACCCCCAGACTGACGGACAGACAGAGCGGGTTAACCAGGAAATCGAAGCCTATCTTCGGGTGTTCGTCAACCACTGCCAGGACAACTGGGCGGACTGGCTCCCACTGGCAGAATTTGCCTACAACAACCGCATCCACTCATCCACCCGTCGAACCCCCTTCGAGCTTGACACCAGGCAGCATCCCAGGATGGGGATGGAGCCCACATGTACATCCGAGGTAGAAGCCGCCGACGCCTTCTCGTCCAGGATGATGAAGATGCAGGAAGAGGCGAAGGCAGCCCTGGAGCACGCAGCAGACGAGATGGCCCGCTACTATGACTGGGGTCAAGAGACAGCCCCCAAGTACCAGGAGGGCAACCGAGTCTGGCTCAGCGCCCAAAACTATACGACTGACCACCCAACCAAGAAGCTAGACCATAAGTGGCTAGGCCCCTTCAAAGTCATCAAGGTCGTCTCCCCAGCTGCTGTCAAGCTCCAGCTCACCGCATGGCAAAAGGGAATACACCCAGTCGTATCTGTGACGAACGTAAGACCCTACCGCCCGGACGAGATTGCAGAACGACCCCCTGACCCCCACCTGGGCCCAGAACTCGTAGATGGAGAGGAGGAATATGAAGTGGAGAAAATACTGGACTCTAAGTGGTTACGCCGGAAGCTCTGGTATTTAGTAAAGTTCGCAGGTTGGCCGAACTCAGAGAATGAATGGCTCCCCCAAGACCAACTAATCCATGCCCCTGACCGGATCGAGGAGTTCCACCAAACACACCCCCACACCCCAGGAAGGGAGAGAACGAACCCCCTGGCCGCTTCTGTCAGAGATCTGGAATGCTGTCAGAAGACAGATAGGGTTCTGTCTGAGTTGAGGTCGGAGTTGATGCAGAGGTCTGTTGGAGCGCGTGTGCAGATATGCGGGCGGAAATATGCAGCGCGTCCGGAAGTGCTGTTCAAGGTTAACAGAGTGGGATCGCGGCCTCAGCGACTCAGGTGGAGCGCTGTGCCCTGAGCTTGACGTTTGGGGGAGATCCTGTATTTACAGACTGACACTTACAGTGGACTTCAAACAAGACTTGTGGGCGGAGCGGACCTGTAGGAGGAGCATGGACTCCACAAGCATGGACTCAGAGGGGGGAAGCCCCCTTTGCAGAAGGAGAGACTCAGACCAGACAGGGGGGGTACTCTAGTTGATTTCAGACTAAGGTCCCCGAAAGTATTTACAGGATATAAATAGGCAGGAGGGAAACACAGAAGGACTGGTCAGTCCGGCGCGGTCCGGCGCGGAAATAAGCGGGGATTGTCAAACTGAATGAAGGACAAGAGCCCGGGAAATGGGAGGCAATGAACTAAACAAAAGCGGATCAAGTGCCAATATTGACAGGTAATAAGAAGTGCATCAGCACATGGATCAAGTGCCAATATTGGCAAGTTAAGCGAATGAATGGATGAACAATATAGGCACTCGGCAAGGAATGAATGGTATGCTGCCGAGTGACAAGATGGCCAGAGAAAAGCGGAGGTCAGCACGCGGTGCCGATACAAGTCCGCAAATAAGCGGGGTCGGTGCGGTGCTGACACAAGTCCATGAAGGGACATGGAAATCAGTGCGGTGCTGACAAGTCCGCAACAGAGGGTGGTCCATCAGTGCCATCACAAACAAGGGCAGCATGATGGCCAGCAAGGTCGGAGGGGAGTGTTGGCCTGACCACAGGGTGTGGAGGGCAACCAGGAGTGGCAGAGGTCCAGAGGGTGTGGAGGTGGGCAGAGGTACAGATGCGGGTGGAGGTCCGGATGCGGGCAGAAGTCCGGATGCAGGTGGAGGTCTGGATGCAGTGCATGGTTGATAGGGCAGGGGGCCAGACATCGGATTGGGGGCTGGTTAGATTGGGTTTCGGGTCGGCGGATTCGCCTATCGGCATTGATTTGCCGCTGACGGAGCCCCAGGATTTGTCGGTCATGACAACTTCGAGGCGAAGCGGCTTAAGGAGGGGGTGATGTCAGGGCACACCCGCCTGACCCGGCTCCACCTGCCCTGACCCGGTATCCCGCTCACCTCTACTCCCCACCCTTCATCACAGTTCCCACTTCAGTCTGAGTGGCCAGGGACCATTGTCCCGGATCGGGCCCACCAGTATGCACGCCTGCTCCACACCCCGCGACGGCCTCAGTGCCGGGCATTACCCCCGGGCCCTCTCGACCCCGGACACATCCCTGACAGATGAGGGTTACAATCCCGGCTGATCGGACAATGCTCCCCATACATGGTTCTCGATCCCAATTTCAAATTGCTCCCCAAGTCGCAATCAATCATCCACACTTTTTCATGAATCACTAGCATTTACACAGGTCAAGCATCATAAATCTTGGCACCGTACCACATTCTAGCTGACCAAATCCGACATCTAAAATCAACATTCGTCCTAAACAACTCCCTCCCCCCAGATTGAAAGAATGGTGCCACTTTTGATAGTTCGAGTTGATCGCTGACCATATCGGCCAGCCAAGAGTCGGGCTGCGGACCACAAGACTGCACTGATGAGAGAGTCGCTCTTAGGGCTTCGCCGAGATTGGGGACTTGAGAGGTCACCGCTCTCCTTGTTTGGGACTACCATAAAGAAGGTTCGATCGGGTCTGAAAAGGAAGACTGGCCACAGTCGTGGCGGCTAGTGTGAGCAGCGATATGCTTTCGGATTATTTCGTTCCTTTTGGGTTAAGCAGTGAGTTTTATTTGCTTCGGTTCGCCTTTACCATGCCGATGGGCATTTGTTTTTTCCCCGAACTTATCCAGCTGCCTGTGACTGCGCACCTAGTAAAGCCTCCACATGGGTGCCCGACACCCGGTGACTCGCATTTCCAACATGCTGTTTCAGGGATGTCCTGCCATGTGTCACCCATTGACCGAATCGAAATCATACTATTCGCCCGTATCTCTTGATCTCCCATCATGACGGAAAATGTTTGTCATTACTTGGGAGATGCTGGTTGAGATGGCTGGTCGATGAGAACAGCACAGAATCAACGTATTCTTCGAATCCTCCCGGGCCATCTGCCGTCACTCGTGTAGCGGTAGCCAGCGCTACACATTGAAGTTGTCCGTTAGACAACTTTTTTCCTAGTGGAATAAAGAAGTGGTTCTGGGAATGTATCCTCAGCACTCGGATCTACGATTTTGAGCGTTTTGTCGCGCCCTGTCGGCAACCATCTTATTCTCCAGCACCTTCGCTATGGTGACACAACAATAGATAAAAAGCTAGCGGGAAGAGGTGGTTTTTCTCTAATCCTACTCTTAAGATCTAACTTCTGCGCACACACAAAATGCGCTCCTTCACTCTGTCATTTCTGTCATCTGCGGCGTTCGTAACCGCCGGAAACGTAATATATGAGGGCAGGATACCTCTGAACTATACCCCAGCCCAGCTCGATGCTAGTGCCCCCCCTTTTACTACGTATGTGACAATCGCAGCTCTGCCTTTCACCAGTGACTGGACATCGCTCTGGTTTACAGCGTTGTGAAGGGGAGTGGCAATGCTAGTCATGTATGCCATTGACCTGCTGTCTCCAGTAATGTACTGACATGGGGTAAACCTTAGTACAGCCACCTGCTAGGCCCCAAATACCACTCCACACCCCTTTGGGGATCATACCCTGAACAGTCTATCGCCATTTTAATCCGTAACTCCTCCGTATTTGTTCCTGGGGGCAACGTTACGAACAGTCAGTTCGGATTTCGACGAACGGAGCTTATTGCCCAGAGTCAAAATCGAAGCGCGTTTGAAGTTGGCACCACAGTCTTTCATGTCAGCATAATGGCGGATCACAAGCATAAGTTGAATTACAAACATGAATACCAAATTGTCTTCGTCGAGCCCAAAGATGGCACCCATGTTTTCGCCATAAATCTAGGTGTGTACCGCCCAGGGCTCGCTCCCAACATGCCCCTTGACATCCGGAGCGTGTTCAGGGACGCCATTCAAGATCCCTTCTACGACAAAGCCCGATCCATCCGCTCATCACTTCAAGGTCCTTGATCATGCGGGAAATATAATCTTCACTACCCCCATGCGTAAAAGTCACTGGCACAATTTCGCCATTCAGGTTGAATGGGACGCAAAAACTCTAGCTGTATTCTTCTCCCACAACAGCGAAGTCCTCGAATCAGTTACGTGCTTAGTCGATAACGACTCAACCTCCAGTGGGGCCGCTGGTCAGGGGGATTTCCATTGGGGAGTGCTCAAGGTGAAGCACAGATGAACCAGTTTGTTGCCCTGTATTGTTAACGGGCATGCATTTTACAGTTGCCTTTGGCCGACCCTCGGGACACTCCGGCCCAACAATCCAATGTGCCTCATCACGGCATTCAGGAAGGAACAACGGAAGGACTGGTTTTTTCGGGTGTGTTCATCGAGGACGTGGTGGGTGGCGTCAGTACCAGCCACAACACCACGGCACCCGCTGTGTAAAATAGCCCGAGCCCGAGCCCGACCTTCAACATGGTTTATGATTTGCACAATGGGATTACTAGCACAGGATTATTATTATAATCCTAATTAGAATGAAGGAAGTTGAGCTGAGACAGGTTACCCATGTTCAAGAATTAAGCCGGGAGAGAACGGCAGCGGAGTCCAATACAGGTCTTTAGTATATCCTGTCCCGAGCCCCGGTAACCCTCAAGTTTGGTGATTCGTCCCTCCTTGAAGGGTGTGTAAGGCGACTTGGCACGGATATAGTCTGCGAGAACATCATCCAGGGTGTTGAGCGGAGGCCCAGGTTTTCTGGGAGGATTGAGGAAGCCATCACCTCCAGCGGCAACAAAATCGATGGTTGTGACAACATAACGATTTTGATCGTCGGGAGTAATTTTAATATCAGAAGTCAAATTTAGAGACCGTAGGCGAGAACCGGCAGCCACGCTGGGATTGTATGAGAAGGCTACCCCTCGAGAAACTTGTACAAATGATGTGACTTCTTTATTCGCTGAATTCCTTCTGCTCACGATGCCTGTAAGCGCATCGAAGCCAGGAGCGCACAATAAAAAAGGAGTTATTGCACAGCCGAAAGCATTTGGAAACCGAGAGCAGTACCTTCAAACATGTCCCAGAGCTCCCTTCCAGAGAACTCAAGGTCCACGACAGCATTCCCGAAAGGAAATGAGGTCACGATGGCGCCTGAGGAGATTATGACGGTCGAAAACCAGTCAATAATTAATATCCCAACATGGGTGGCGCTCACCTCGCGTGACGTTCCCTTGAGGAATAGTTGCTCGGATGCCACCTGAAGGTAAGGCAGCGTCATATTGATAATAGTGACGAGCGAAGAAACCTGGAGTTCACACACCGGCATTCATAATTGCACCATGAACCTTTCCGCCAGCGTCCAGTCGATAATCCAACATTGCATCGGTGATTAGGTTGCCCAATGTGCCTGAGTGTTTGGCACCAGAGAAAAGCAGGTCAATGCTCGCTTTTATTTTACATGAAAGTGACACACATTCTTCGATCTGACAGCGGGTCTGATCAAGATCTCCATTTGTCCAGCCGACCACTTTTTTCGAGTACTCGTCGAATGGCTTGCGCCATGCATCCACCTTGGCCTGGAGCTCCGTATCTCGAGGAATGGAACTGTCCATGACAATGGGTCCACCAGTATATTCAAGCACACGCCCCCCTGGACCATTTTCAAACGCAATATTGATAAACCCGAGAACTTGGCCCCATCTCCAAGCTGTGACAATGAATACTTCCTACAGTCGAATCACTGAGTGTGAGAAAACAGTTAATCAAACAGGGAAATTGTCTCGACCTCTCCGTCCAGGTTCCTTTGAATCGTTGGGTACGGGCCTTCAGCTTCGTCGAAATCGCCGAGAAGAGTGTGTGAATGGCCACCTACGATGGATATGGTAATGAGCGGCATGACCAAAAGGTGGTCCTGTGGAGATTGTACCCAATATCAAATGAATGCCACGAGTTCGCCTGGCTAGATCCACGTCGTCTTCGTAACCTATGCCGCGACATAAAAGCGAGGTGTTCTCGTCGACCTCACAGATCCTTTATTGCTACGGGCTTACCGATATGTGTCATCGCGATGATACGGCCCACGTTCTCTTTCGCATTAATCTCATCTACCGTTCTCTGGAGCGCTTCAACGGGATCCAGGAATTCCGTGTCACGTCCTGGGCTTGAGGTCGTCTTGGTGTGAATTGTAGTAAGCCCGATAACAGCCAGCGAATGTTCAGGAAACACGTGGTAAGGCTTGATACGGGAAGACAGCCAGTGGTTGTTTGTCTTGATATTGGCGCTCACAACAGGAGCCGTCACGTTGTGGAGCTGGATGCGCGACCATTATAATGGCACGGAATAGAAGAGGATAGGGGGCTCTCACTAACATAACTGGCCAATTGATCATCTCCGCCATCGAATTCGTGCTGTAGAATAGATTTTAGCTCAATTGCCACACAAGTCCGGTCGTGAATCGCAAATTTGCTCACATTGCCGATCGTCATTGCATCAAAGTTGAGGTCATTTACTGTTTCTGCTATCTTGGAGCCTCCGTAGAATGAGTAAAAAAGAGTGCCCTGTCGAAAAAAATACGTAAACTCTCCTGGCTCACGGCGCCCGTTGCGTTGTGGGGACCAAGAACGCAAGGTCCTTACCTGGAATTCGTCGCCCATATTAAGAAGCAGAGTATTTGGTGTGGTGGAGCGTATCTCCTCTACTTTTGTCTTAATCCTGGAGTAGCCTCCTACACAGTCCGGGGATGGAGGGTCGCAGTCAGTTCCCGACTTGCGATACTGGTCTAAATGGGCGTGCACATCGTTCACATGGCTAAGAGAAATAAGAGAACAATATTTAGATGCCAAATGCGGGAGAAGTTCAAGGGGTTCGGCATCATTCAGATGTCATAACATCACCAGGAACATACACGAAAGTGAGGTTGTGCAGCCTGTCTTCGAAAACATCCCGTCTCCACGACCTCGCGTTTAACACATCCAGACGACGTGACCGCAGATGATCTGGGGCCGCTAGGGCGCTCACTGCGGCTAGTATTGTAAGGAATTGAGTGGACGACAGCATAATGGGGGACCCAAAGGGTAAGGAGGTGCCAACACGCCTGGTCAGGGCGTGGGAATTCCTCTTTCTGACACTTCCGCACCTCAACGCCCGTTGAAAGCTGCTATGTGAACAAAATCCATGTGATTCCCGTCTTCTGATGGGATGTGAGCTCTAGGTCGTCGCCTCTGAACACTTTACACTGCGCTGCATGAAATTCCCCGTGAAAAGCAGCACTCAGAACTTAGAAGCAGAGTTTTTCCTGTTCGAGTACGTTGTTCAAGGACTATGAAAATGCGTTGCGCCAGTGTTTCGCCCACAATCCGTTGGCTGGATTTCGTTTCACCTTACTGTTAACTTGGAAGGTCTTAATTGATTAGCACGTCGGGCGGGGATGCTGTACCCAGATAAGCTGTCACAATACCCGCCGGACTTCAAACAAAAGAAACGCCGTTGTGCGCAGGGCCTCATGAGGCCACCTCGTCGTTTCCAGGAGGCAGCTTTATCCCTGTCTGCTCGGAGACATGTCTCATTGGGTGACCCCTTCTGTTGTCTTGAATAATCGCCATGTTAAGGTCAATTGCCGTACGCGAACAGCCCGTGGCATGGGGATTATGTAAAGACTTCCACCACGTTTACTCCATCCCCGGGGCGCCCTGGATTCTGACTGTGCTTGGCTCAACGACCTGTTGTTGTAGTCAGTGTTGATCATCTTACCAAGGTTTCGGTGGCTGTTTTCTGGCCGAGCAGAGCCATGTCTGGCAAATACCTCAAACACTGTAGGAACGAACACTTTTCCACACATACTTGCGATCGGACACAGCTCGTGGGGAAAGCACTCGCCGCCCGTCGTTGACTCCCGGTTTGGTATTTCGGACCCGCTCAGACATCAGCAGACCCTGGCCACCCCGGGCGCAAAACTCGCACCCCTCTTAGTGCTTTGCTCTGGGGACCCAATATCTGTGAGTCCCAATCTTATCAGCCGCCTTCCGGCACGTTCGTACAACATGAGAAAACCACCCGTCTCACAAAATGAAACGATTTCCATTGTTGTTGACCAAATACTGGGCGAGTATTGATTCACCAAGCTTGGACAATATCCCATTCGTTCGGGGACTTGACCTTCATACTTGCATTGCATAACCCAAAGGGGTTAGACGGACATTCTCAACCTAGTTCATGTCCACGTTGACCCCACGCGGTTTGGAATCACATTGAGATCAAGAATTCTGGTCTGATTCAACTAATCCGATTTTGCTTCGTGTCAAGATAACCTCCCCCCTGATAACTTGCCCACTCTCTCTCTTACTATAATCCGTGCACAACCACCATTCCAATTTGGAACTGGGCATTTTGACAAGTGACCGGTCGCAGTTCAGTGATTATAAGTGCTTTTGCGGACATCGCTTCCTTTCATTATCCCTTCATCTATCCTGTGAAACGATTCATCTGGCGCATTGTTTCGACAATGCCCAGCGTCATCCTAAATACACCAAAAAAGGGTACTTTCATTCAATCGACCTTCATCTTCCGTGTGCACCCCTTCGGTGTTGCCTCTTTCGTTTGGCCGTGTGTGACCTTGGCTCAGTTCGACGACAGTCGGGCTCACTAAAACGAGGGGAATAGATGATTGAGGCCTGGCTTAATAGTACGGCATGCCTGCCATTCGAACCATCTGATTTGGCTCCATCAGGCATTCAGGAGCATTTATCTTCCTCATCGTCCAACCCAAGCCCCCCGACCACATCTCCTTTCAGGGCCCCCATCTGGTGTTGGGGGGATCCGACTTATTGGCACCAAAACTCCATAAACGCGTCGTGCTGGAGTCAGTAGGATTTATTCTTCTAAGCGCAGAAGGAACTGAGAGGCCGTTTGTTTTCATGGACGTGGAAAGGGGATTCACATCCATTTTTGTTTTGCGTTCAGCTCGCCGTTAACATCCATCACGGCTGTGTATCATTACTCGCCGCATGTGATGCGATATAGTTTTTTTTTGTTTTTTCATTTTCCGTGGGGCAGTCCGGACGCCAGGCGCTTGCTTGCTCCTTCCTGGCACTAGCGCTATCGCTGAGTGATGCCCGGTGTACAGGTTTTCTCCGTTCATCTCCGTATCCCAACCCGGACCAACCCTCTTGCTGCCATGCTGTGTACGTTTTCATTCCTAGGTTTTTCACAAGATATCGTTAGATAGGGACAAACGGCCAAAGGAAAAGACCGCGCCATTTTCCCCTGGAGCATGATATTTCCATTCTTGATTTCCGTGCACTTGTACACCGCTTCGTTGAAGGCATGTTTCGGAATCCGGCTTGATGATCCCCAAGCATCAGCATGGCAAAAACTCCCCAATTTCTTTGTCGACGGACATGAACGTGCTCTCATCGAGTCATCTTCCCCAACTGGCTGAGCCCCTGACTCAACTGAAAGAACTTACCCTGCTTTCAGTTCTCCAACACCGAACTCATTGTAGCAGGCCTTTTAATGGTGAGAAAATTAAGACCTTCTGGACCGTGCTCATTAAACCGAACCGTTGTCGAGTTTTTGCTTCGGGGGCGTTCTTCGATTTTTCTCTTGGAACACAGCTGACACCGGTTTTTGTGTGCACAAGGGTCTAACAACCCTGTCCAATTCATGCAGTGTAAGAAAATAATGACTCGGAGCAACGGAACGAGGGAAATTTACATTTTAGCTCCAGTACTTCCCAGCTATTGTGCCTAAAAATAGTATGTACCGACCGAGGCCCAAATATATACGTGTATGCGTTTCCATTCCGACTCGTTTGTCACGATGTCAATATGTATACCCTGGCGTGGAACAAACTGACTCAGGTCAGGCGTCCGTTGCCCGTATCATTATGCGATTCGGGGTAAGGGCCGGGTCAGTTGAGTGGGATCTTTGGCGGGGTTAGCAGTGGCGGTCAAGCGTTGGGAGGGGACTCAACAAGGAAAAACCAGCTGGCTGCAGTGCCTCGGTATGTGCTGTGAAAATCAATTTGATTTTAGAGTGCAATCGGGAATGCAAATTGGCACGCGCATCGCATGGAGACGAGGACCGCCCGCGTGCGCACCATCTAATCACAAAGATGTTGCAGATTGCTGCGTGGTTGATCGTATAATCAGTACTACTAACTCTGCCCGAAGTTTTAGGTGTGTGCTGATAGGATGCACATACTAAATACGTATGATAGGATAGGGTATGATGCTGATGAAATACCATCTGTGGACACCGGTGTCCTCGCCAGGAGATTCTTTCCTTACCGCTTTGTTCGCTCGCCATTGGGTAGTAAGCGAGTAATTGCGCCAGGCGGTCGCGATGCACGCTTATTCCTCTGATGCTGATGGTGCGCTGAGTTAAGGGGTTAGAGCCTTCTCATCGAGCTGTTGATGCCTGTGCCTTGATTGTTAAGAATCTCCGAATGAATGTATCATCGCAGGGTTAAGTCCGGATAACCCTGTAATCAGGGAGTTGGTAATATTTGACCAACAACAATATTTTGCTGCGAGTGGATGATTCTTGTTCGAATTCGGCGTCTAGGCTAACGGGCGTGCGCATATTCTTGGCTGGCCGAGCGGTGTTTCGTCTTTTCTGCGATGCGGGAGGGGAACAATTTATTCTTTCTTGAAGTCAAAAGTCGTAAACGCCGAGAAGGTTGAACGTGGTGAGTTCTGAGGGACGTGAGTGAGGGGAGGGGAGGGGAGATCGTGCGAGTGGGTATGGACAGACCGGTTAAGTTGGAACTGCCGGAAACAGAGTGAACACGCTAGGGTATCGTATCTGCATTTCTGGGAGTGTCACAATTGCCGTAGTACTCCTAAGTAGAGGGACGAGACTGTATCCATTTATTTTGATTGAGAAGCATATGCATACATAGTGACCGGCTCGGAAAGGAGACAATTTCGCTTTAAAGTCGATTATCATGGTGAGTAGCCGCCGTGGTACGCACGTGGCAAGAGGTAGTTTGACAGGAATTTCGCGGGGGAGGCGCTGAAGCTGGAATGTCAAGCGTTTCAAGAGAGCGAGTGGTGGTAATTGGCGGTTAGGATTGGGCACTGAGTAGATGCCGGATGAAGTCCACAATTGAAATGAAGGTATCATTGCCCAGTCTGGAACACCGCAGAGCTGCTCGAAACTACCCGCATATATGTGATGCGAATGGGTCCTGGATGGTCGCAGACAGCCTGTACTGTGCAGCGCCCTCGCATATGGCGAAGGATGTGTAGCTAGAGTCTGGCTGCGGTAAAAACTAGTTTCAACACATGGCCATGGGAATGGAATGCGGGCAAGACCTGCGAAGATCTGCGGCCAGGGTGGGCTACTAGGAACAGCATCCACGAACCAAAGACCCGGATAGTACAGAAGAGGCAAGTAGATACGACATTAGAGAAAGGATCCATTAGACACAGGTGCAAATCCTGATTCCTAGTATGACAGAGTAGTAACAGGGCAACGGAAGGGCGGAGGTTGCAAGGCTAAAAGAGAGTTTTTCTAACACACTGGACGTGGGTACTGGTTACAGCTCGTTACCGCGCATCCCAGGAATACCACGCCCGACACTGCAATTATGATTGATGGTAACGCCGTTTAGGCACATCGTATCGTTCACGCTGTGATACGTAGCTCGTGCTTCGGTGACTCAACCCTATCCACGCCCCGCCCGACGGTAATCCAAGGGGTGGAGAGAAAAAATAAAGGGGAGTGGTTTTTTTTTTGAAAAAGAAAAAGAATCCAGCTTTCTTTTTAGATTTCTTTTGTATTCTCTTTCCCTCAGGTGAAATAAAAAAAAAAGAGATCAGATGGCAAGAACCCATAAGAGTCGAATTTTTGTTCAAAAGATTTGAAGTCCAGATGAATGTGTTGATCGTTTTATTCACTCATCTCTCCGACGTTCACTCACTCAGTTTGGAAAATATCTTTTTTTTTTTTGCACCGGAGCTTCCCAAACCCCCTCCAAGAACACTCACTCGTTAGTTGCGGAGGCATCGTGGGTATCGCTGCTGCTTTTTTCCTTCCACACTCGAATAAGTGCTGCCCCCGGTTGATTATCAACATGGAGGCAAGAGAAATGAATATGCTCTCAACGGCAGAACAAATACACCTAATCCTCCCTCTCCTGGACCGAGTTCGTCTCTTTCTGGTCACCCCTCATCATTGTCATCCCGTTCAGATTGCTTTATAACGCCCTCATACTTCATTGTAAGTCTCCCCCCCCTTTCATCCCCCTCTACATCCCTCCTCCTCCAAATCAAGAATAGCACACTCATTCATCATCATGTCATCTCCCACTGTCCTGCCCTATCAGCCGTACTTTAGTCCTCCACAAATATTCACCGCTTTTCAAGACGCAGCGAGTATGAACCAGGTGAGCCTGTTCTATTCCGAGCGCTCTGTGACATTAACTTGACTTTCCCTTCCAGTCATCCGCATCTGCCGGCGACGCAGTGCTCCGGTCAGGCGCTGACCAACACTCGCAGAGCCCATCTGTTCATCATAGTACCACTTACGCGCCTCAAAGATGGGACAGCGGGAACTCTGTACCCAGTCTCGACGATGTCACGCGTAGCGTTAACGCTCCGGGGTTCACGCTTCCCCCGATTGTGACATCCTCGAATCCCTCAGTTCAACCTCACACTCAGCCTCGGTCGCAAAGCGGCGAATGGCACGGGAACTCTTCTGATTCCTCGCCCAATTATGCAACAGATTGGAGTGCATCAACTACCTATCCTCCCCAAGGTACGCATATCCTTAGCAGAAGCACCTCCACCGTTTTAGTTCAGAAATTCAATTGGTCTTCTTCTGTTTTGACGCATGCACCGGTACTTGGGACACTTCCCCTTCCTTGCCTTAATCTCCCCGATTCGATCGTCCTGTCCCCCCCTGCCGAACTTGAACACGCCCACACTTAGCCTCTTACCGATCTCAGCCGCACCAGTATGCTGCTAGCCCGCACCAGGCCTATGCAACGACACCTGCCTCGGAGTCGGCACCTTCCCCTTATGCCACTCCGCACTACCAGCAACATGCTCCACACAATACGGGCAATCACCACTCGGTAACGCACGAGATCTCGTCCTACGCCATGACCAATGCAGCGCATCACCCGCACGGCAATGGAAGCCATCACGTTCGCTCTTACAGCAATCCCACGCCGACATCCGTAACATCATATTCACCAATATCAGCTTCCTCACCGTACGCGCCCGGAGGGCACCAAAGTCCTGCGTTCCTTGCTTCTACACCCGCTGGCGCTGGCGCCAGTGCTATTGGTAATGGCACCAGTGCATATGATACTTCGCGAACCCTTCCTCCGCTTGCTGCGCTAACAGCTGGATCAACAAATGGGTCAACGCGCTCCACTTCACCTGAATCTGTCCACGGTCACTCCCACAGAGGTTCAACTGGTAGTCTCCTCTCTTCAGCCATTGGCCGAGACCGATCCTCTGCCGAGCCGATGGGTACTACGTCGTCTAGCGGATCAAGTGTTGCCAGCTCATACTTCATCAATACGGGTGGATTAGGTATGGGGGGACTTGGCGGAAACAGTCCATTCGGTGATCTGGCAGGGATTGTCGTTCCAGCGAATGGAGTAAACCATCTTTTGGGGGGATCAATTTCGGGCTCATTAGCAAGCCCAGTGAGCTCGACTAATTCGTCCAGTGTGACAAATGGAACAGTCACAGCCTCTGCTGCTGCAAGTGTGAATGGGAATCTACCGGGGATCAAGCCGAAGCGCCGACGGGCCGACGCGACACAGTTGAGAACGTTGAATGCTACATACGAAAGAACAGCATTTCCTTCTACCGAGGAACGTGCCGAGTTGGCTCGTAAGTTGGGCATGAGCCCCCGTCAAGTTCAAATTTGGTCCGTATTCCCGGTCTCCCGTTCCCTTTTACTTTCCCATGTTATCGTCCAATGATACTTACCAGGTTTTCTAACAGGTTCCAGAATAAACGTCAATCGTTCCGCCAGACTCGGACGCAACAGCAGGCCCAGGCGGCTCATCCATCGCATCCACACCATACCTCGCATCACGCCTCACACCACATTCACTCTGGGACGGCGGCTGGTCCAGGGACGTTTGGCTCGATACAACTGACGAGCCCAATAGGCTCAACATCAACTACATCGACTAGTAGCAGTGGAACAGCGAATGGCGGAGGATCTTATGGAGTCTATGGCGGGGGATATGGTGCTGCGACCACTGATACTGCGTCCAATGGGGCGGGTACTCTGAGGTGGTGAGGTGGGGGCGTCTTGTTATTTTAACCTTTCGAAGCGGGGTTTTTTGTCTTCGAAAGTCGGGGCACGTGTGAAGATTGGGTACGTAGCAGTCTGCGCAGGATTTATTCTTTGGCTTTGAATCTGCTAAGCTGCGTTTTGTCGAACTGGGACTGACCACCGCACTCAATTGTTGTAGGAGATGAAACATAGTCCTCGATCGACCCACCATGTCCTGCCAAACCAAGGAATGTTACTCTTTCCATTCTCTCTTCACGAAACGAAACCTGGAGCCCAACACATGTTCCGCTGGACGAGCAGGCCGACCGACACACATTTTGCTGACATATTTCTCAGTACCACACTCGATCTTGTCCTTTTTCACCTCACTATGAAAACACAATTGGCAGCCAGCCTCAAGTAACCTCTCTATACCTTGCACCCTCTGGTTTTTCGTCCCACCATGCACAGTTCCTTCACTTATGTTTCAGTTCTTTGTTGTCTTTTCTTTGTTTCTCCGTTCCATGTGTTGTGTTGCCTCCACCTTCGGATCCGCAGCCCTGGAACATGATTCCTTCCTGTTATAACGCCCGCACACATCAGTTTTGATTCGAAAAGAGTCCCAAAATCATCTGTATCACAAAGCATAGCAACCACTTGTAATTCTTTATTTTTTTTTCCTAGTGGCTAGTTTCTTTTTTCGTTCCACGTCGCATCCAAATGCTTGCAGCTATACATGCTTTACTCCCAACTTTCCGCCTGACCGTCAGATCAACGTTTGTAATTTGATAGCTTCTCGTTGGCTGGCGCGTTGTGTGGCAAAGATCCACTTGTAGCCCGCCTCACTCCCCCTTATTTGTAGTTTGACCATATTCATTATCGTTTCGTATGTTGCTGTCCCACTTGTTATATTATCAGACTCCACCGATCCGCCAATCGCCCGTTTGGTGGCTACTACTTTAATTTGTTCTTCCAATATTTACGTTATCTTCAACCATATATGATTTTTACGCGTGTAGCTAGATAACTAGATAAGCTGCACATGTTGCGCGCGTTCAGAAGAATATTTGTCATAGCGCAGGGCATCATGTGTCAGTGCACGCGGCTCATGCAGCCTGATCAAGGTTGCATGTGTACGTTATGGTTGCTAGGCGCGCACGTTGTATTCTCCCCCCTCCTGGCCCGCCGTGATCGCGTTTGGCTTGTTCGCCTCTCTTTTCAGTGAATTCGTTCGATCATGTGTCTGATCTGATCAGCTTGTTCCCCAACGAAAGAAACACCTCAATCAGCTCAACTGCATGCGCAATCTTCGGCTTCCTAACCAAATTTTGACTGATAACACATGTCCACCTACCACCCTTGTGACAACTACCCGGTCAATTTCCTGGAGGATCACGAGACATCGGTCATCTAAACCATCCCCGTCACACGAGAACACCCTCATCTCCAGGGTTAGAAGTGAACGGTGTCTCGGTGGTTTTCGTTCTTCCTCATTATAGATGAATTTGAGTCCAATTGTTGCCCACGTAGAACGCCAGGAGGGAGATATTAGGCATCTAAGATAACCCGTACAATTCAAAGGATCGGTCAATCAGGATGTCCCCGCACGGCATGGGCATAAAGGCCGCAGTGACTATACAGGGTTAGCAGTCGAGTATGGCCAACGAATGGTATTCTAGGGTAGCTGAGGAAGACGAATGCGAAGGGATACGTGATATAGGCACCCAATTGATCTTATTATGTGCAAGGAAGGAAACGTGCCCGGAAAACCGCGACGACCAAATTGGGCAATGATAACCGAGGTACTTCTTGAGAATATCGAGGCAAACTAATCCTGTGCCTTGATAATTATTTATCTAGATCGATTTTTGCCTGATGTGTAAACTGGCCGACGAGGGGTGAGCGTGGGAACAACCATATTGGGAATTCCGGTCATCAATCGCTGTCTGTGTCTTCAGGTTTGGGTCCTACATAACGGAATAATTAGGAGGCAGCGTCAAAGGTGACCACACCCATGTTCCATCAGCCGCCACTCTCAGGGAGTATGAAGCAGGAAGCGGTGACTCACCACCAAAACTAAGCCACTCCAGCTTCCTGGCTCTCCGCCGTTCATCCCTCACTTTAAGCTGGTTGCGGGTTAACTTTTTCTTCTTAATCGCCGGTATTGGGTTGGCTGTCCCAGAACCGGCTTTTTCGTCTCCAGTCCCAGCTGGTGTACCGCTGACTGAGGCAATAGGTGTAGGTGCAGCGCTTGTTCTGGGTCGATCCTGGGCGCGATTTTCCGTCCGCAAAGGCATCCTCCACGACTGCAACCTTACCCTTCCGCGCCAGACGACCCGCTTCTACATTCCATATCTCTGGACAAAGCGCATTGACAAATTCCTAGTTTCTTTTAGGGAACCTTCAAGTTACCGCGAGAGGCCCGCTCACCGTGTTATGTGAAATGATCAGAACCGCTCCAGCCCAGTCTCGAATGGCAACAGCTAGCCCGCCTAGAGGTTTTCATGACATTCATCAGCACGTGAAACAAATCGTGTTGCGTGCTTCTCCTCACCAAGGGCCTTCTCGGTCCAAGAAATTCGTTGGCTCATCTGGTGTCGGTAATCTAAAGTCTCAGAACGGTTGCCACACGAATCTCAAAGCGCATACTAGAACAAGCACCTAGCCAGCGAAAAGAACTCATCAGGGGCCATCGTGTCCTCGAGTAGCATGCGGCCTCACCTGAGGATTATTCCATAATGCTGCAGCTATCACAACCTTGACCTTCTGACCTCCGCTCAATCCCCCCATTTCGTTGTACATCGCAATATTCCCATCTAGCCCAACCTGTCTAGGGTCGCTCTAACGGCAGAGGCGCTGGTTTCTCGGCTAGCAGCCCCTTCTCTTGAAGCTTCTATATCATCAAACTGCGCAACCACTTTTGCAAAGCCTTTTTCAAGCAGATCTTCTCGGGGTAGCCACGTGTTGAACTTATGGTCCAAATCCTCCATTTGATTCGTATTGGAAAGATTTCTTCAGCTTTTGTCGGCCCATTATCATCTGTTCCAATCCTTGGAATCAGCACTCACTCTACCACTTAAAAAAAAGATTTGCACCACCTCAATCTTGCGTTTCTCGCCGTTCCTACCAACGAAGTCTTGCTCTAACGATGCTCGCTCCTCCTCAGTAAGCACCCGAGTGGACTTCTCCAAAAGCTCCCCTAAGGTGTTACAAATCAATAATCGAATTGCTCACAAGAATTATGCATATCTACTTACGATCGTGCCCATCTTGAAATCGCCACTGACTGTTAATCGCTACTCTTTAGTGCTGGGGAACATCGATTACAAGCAGCAAAACCTACACGTATGCGACGGGAGTCTTTTCAAGGTGCTTTTCTGATGATTCGTCAATGTCAGTCCTCTGTGGGTAAGGATGATCATACCAATGTGATGTGTCGCATGTTGAGAGACATATCCCACACGTAGCGATGGGTGCCGGTACACAGTGCCAGACTGTGGCCCAGTCTCTCCCTGACAAAAACGGACAATTGTCATTGAGCTTCCAAAAGTTCAGTTCCACCTACAGTCAGTAGTTTGATGAGAGTGGACTTCCCCGCTCCATTGGGCCCGACGATCCCTACCCGACTACTCAGACTCAAAGCACAGCTGACGTCAATCAAGCTTGGGTCTTTTCGCCCAGGATAGGTGAATGTACAATTGCCATCTTCATGATGGCACGTGTGTTCGAGCGCACACCCATAAGGCTCCCTGGTGGTGGGAACGAGAATTTGACTGATGTGGCGGCGAGAGTGTAGTAGGATTTGGCCGAAGGACGTGTTTCACAAAGTTGGATAGGTTGCCAGGATAATAAACAAGCTGAGAAATAGCTAGGCTTCAATATGAGGGGACGAGAGGGGCTGGTTCAAACTAACTTTTTTATTCTCGTAATGAATGATATCCGTAGTAACATTGTCTAAGAATCTTTGGGATTTGCTGTTAGGTGAAAACGCTATTCGTCCAAAGTGAGCAGGAAAGCCGCACCCTGAATCGTGAGATACAATGAGACATGTAACGTTTACATGCGACGTAAGATAGTCCTCA